AGGGACCTTCAAGAAAAGAGCGTACTTCTTTTTAAAAGGCCGGCAACGCATCTGCAATTCCCTCCCTGGTGTTGCAGTTGTTCATGGGCGGCGGTAGTCACTTACCATCAGGTGAGCCGCATGCTCGTTTGCCCCCTCTCCCATAAAAAAATATATTTGTTAGCTGTTAGCTGCAAGTAAGTTGTCGCATTTTAATTTACTGACAAATCTGCATATAACTGTTTTGGGTACTTTTAAGGCTGGGTTTTGTTTTCTCTACAGGCAACAATGTCAGTTTCTGTAAAAGGAAAACTAACTACTTTACTGATTTGCATAAGCTAAGTTCTGTTGTCTGTGCTCTGGTACACAATGAATTTCTATATTATTTTGCCTCGAGTCCTGCTCTATAACAGACAACCTCGATTCCAAGTCATTGACTTTGCGCTGATTCTTCATGCAAAATATTTCTGACAGCGGACCGCAGATTGACAGTTTCTTCAACGAAGCTATTATTTAAAGTATTACCCCGAGTAAAGGTTACATTTTGACGTTCGTCGAGTGATTCATTGATAGCTTTAGATAAGGAGTCCTTACCGGGTGTATATTTTTTGATTTTATTACGCTGAGTTGATGACATTTCTTGAATGCAGTCAGGGCATTTCCAGTTAGTCGGCTTTTTAGCACTTGTCAGTTGAACACATAAGTAATGAAACTGTTTTTTGCAGTTAGTTTGAGAGCAGGAAATCTTTTCATTAGCCTTCAGAGGCTTGTTGCAACCGCCATTACAAGCATTCATTTTTAAAAGCAAAAAATAATATAATATAAAAAATATATTAACTTTACAACTCGACCGCCTGAATGTAGCACGGCGACGTTCAAGTACTGACTAAACACAGCACGGAGGCACGCGAAGCGGGCTCGATGGGTGTTATCGTAGGTCAGCGTCAAAGTTCGTTACAAAAAAATTTGAAATATTTTCGCTTATATCTTACGATTCCCTTTGTATTTCACAATTCTGATTTCACCATTGGAAAGAGCACTTTTTAACGAAAATAATGTTATAAACACATGCTATAGCAACTAAAATTTACTGCACTTTAGATTTAAAATTCACGGAGCGAAAAAAAACACGTCTTATACTCTCGGTTTATAATCTGTTATGCGTCTTACTTATTTTAGCTTCACTATAGTTCCAACTATTGAGAAGTGGTCATAAAGCCCTAGATAGTGAAAATTACTGTGACCCGACTACGGCAAAGGCATAAGGACACACAACAAAACAAAAACGCTTTACGTGGTAGAGCCATGCTGCAGCTATATTAATAGTATAGTTGTAGCACGAATGGGTCAGCTCGATCAGGGACGGACCACGCTCTCACAGAATACCAGCCTAAAATAGCAGCTTCATGCTGCTGTGTTTCGTATGGTGAGTGTATAGAACCGGAGACCTATTTTACTGGAAAAGAGGCATTCTATCTTAGTCCTCACGGCTGACAACTAATCTGCATTTTAATTCGCAAACGAAGATAGATGTAGATGTCTATGGGCCACAGTAACCACTTGTGTTGCTCTGTGTGCTCGTTTGTTACCCTTATTCTATATAAAAGGGTGGCCTACTAAATAAGGAAAACGACGAAAAGCTCATAAAGGTAAGTACAATTTACGCTATAAAGGTAATCGTAGCTTGTATATGTCGAATTTTGACGTCCATTACAAATATTAAAATGAGCAGAATCATGAACTACATCGGAGTCATCGGTTCTGCTATTGAGTGTATTCATGACAAATCACTATCACACCACAATAAAACAGCAATTCACTTATTATTTCTAATTAGAACAGTTTGTTACACAGAAATATAATAAAGTTCACAGTAATCAATAATAAACAAAAATAATAACACGATTTACTTATTCAAAGCTTAAATTACTTACACTATTTGCTTTCGACCTTAACACCTCAAGCGCGGACCAAAGAATGACCGTTCCAAATATTTTTCGGTAAAGGTGCACAACGCCATCACTTCCGCGCGGTCGTAAAGATGCGCGGACCAATGGCGTTGCGCGAGCCTTCAGGTTTAAATCAGTTTAACTACTTTTAATCTAAATCGAAGTATAAAGAGTTTATTGTTTGAACTCATAGTAAGCCTGTAGTTACTAATAATTAAAGACAGAATTTCTTAAGATTAGAACACAATGATTGCTAATTATTAAACAATTATTACTCAGTTGAAACTCGAATGCAATAATGATTACAGGATAGTCAAAACAACTACATTTAAAATATTTATAATTGAGCTTTTAAAATAATGTAATAACTATTTCACTAGTATTTATTTTACGTGGAATAATTAAATTACAAATATTACTAGTAGGGCATCGAGAACCGGTCCCTTTCCAGGAACCGGTTCTTTCGGTTCTAAACTTTTGCCAGAACCGGGTACCCGGTTCTTTCGGTTCTTTTTTTTCTTTTAGGTTGGAGGCTATTTTGTTCAATGTGAATAACGATAATAATATTCATAAAGAAAACGGTTTATTGCAAATCGTGGGTTAAAGTAATTATTCAAGTAATAATTGCAATAGTTTCTTTCTAATTAAATATAATCAAACATCTCACTAATTAGTAACTTAAATTTTAATATCATTCAACATAAAAATAATTTAGAAAGATTCTATTCTATTATAACATTACAATATTTTATCATAGAATATACTTTAGACAGCTCTCTATTATCCGATTTTGACATCCAATTGCTGGCGTTTCTTCAAGGGATACTTTTTGTCTAGCTTTTGTGCGATTTGTTTTTATAGAATAAGGATAACAAACGAGCAAACAGTCCACCTGATGGTAAGGGGTTGCTGTGGCCCATAGACATCTACATCTATCCTCGATGACGAATCAAAATGCAGATGCGTTGTCACCCGTGAGGACTAAGATTGAATGCCTCGTTTCCAGTAAAAAGGGTGTCCGATTCTCTACACTCACCATACACAGCAGCGTATTATGTGAGAGCGTGGTCCTTCCCCGGTCGAGCCGACCTATTCGTGCCACAACTATAAGTACTAGTAATATAGCTGCAGCATGGCTCTACCAAGTAAAAATTTTCAATTTCGTGTAACCTTTCATCACTTGTAGGCCGGGAAAAGATTATTGCATCTTCGTCCATACTGGCAAAATAACTGTCAAGGTTGGTTAAGTATCGCAGTATTCATGCTTGCATGTTTTTTATATTGTTTTCGCAACGCAGTGAACATTTTATTACTAAGATGAGTATTCATTTCAATTAACTTTCTTATAGCAAATTTTAAAGAAACGTCGGCTGTAAACAATGTTGCATCGCAACGGGATAGAGCTTCTACGATAGTTTTAAAAACATGCAATATATTATTTAACTCTTATATGTTTGTAACTATTGTTTGTATATCAGATTTTAAATCAATTAATGCTTTTGTGATCTTAACTTCAGAAAACATCGCGGCTATGCTACTCCATGGTGTCTTTACATCTAAAACCAAACAATATTCTTGTCCGAAATCAGCTACGATATGCTTTTGAAGAATTTCGTCACTTTTAGTGGGGGAACCCTTGAAAATTTATACCAAATTAAATTAAATATCATTACAAATCCTACCCTTTGCCATAAATAGCAGAAATGATTAATAATCACTTTTTTTATAACACTACATTGCAGTGATATACTTTTAAAGACATTTTGTAAAGGAACCGAAAGAACCGGGTTTTATATTTTCGGAACCGGTTCTTCTCGTAACCCCTGAAACCCGGGAATTCCCGGTTCTTTTGGAACCGGGAAAAACCGGTTCCGATGCCCTAATTACTAGGTAACAATGCATTAAATCATTAATTAAGATTTCATTTGAAGACCGAAGCGCGTGCGGCGACACGGCCATTCTGATATGCGATGCGTGCCCTGCAGCGCTTAATCTTTCTTGTGTAGTTGTTTCTGAAATAAATTATAGAAATATTTTTGAGGCTAGGTACTTCAGTAGTAAACCTAAGCACAAAGTTTAACTAAGCTGTTTACTACGCGGGCACAGCCTGTACGAGATATGTGTAGTTAGGTTAATATTGTAACTGCTCATTCCACATGACAACAGCTATAAAATAAATTTGGTCATTGGTCGCCTCCACACGCCAATAACATCTTTTATTATTATAATACATTTGGTTATTATGTAACTGCTCATTCCACATGAAACAGTTATAAAATAAATTTGGTTATTGGTCGGCTCCACACGCCAATAACACCTTTAACATTGTATTTGGTTATTGTACGACTCAACATGTCAATAACATCTTTTTTTTTAATATGTTACCTAATAATGTATGTGTGATTGTTAAGTAAGAATATAACATGAAAGGTTCTCACCAGGATGGAATCCATAGCTTCCTGTGTTCCTTTAATCGACTATTGAGTCGTTCTAGTCTGTACTAGCACTAACTAGTTTTGACGCAGATTGGGTTGGTGATGGTGCTGTCTCCAGCGTATTAACAATGCCGGATGCTCCTTGATGCTCGTCTCTGTCTGTGGGCGACACGGCCGCCTGGGGGTTTACGACTGCACCCGGTTGCGGGACACGTCGTAACTGGTTATGCGCGACTTTACGGGGCCGACCATGGTGACTGACAACTTTCTTCACGAGGTATCTGTCGTTATCGAGCACTCGATGAACTTCATAGGACACGCTAAACTTGAGGTCCAACGAAGTCTGGTTTCTGGGATTATTTTTTATTAAAACGAAGTCTCCCCGTTGGAAGTTATGTACCTTAGCCCGTCCTTCGTCAAACCTGAGTTTGTCTTTTGCTGACGCCTCGGTCATCCTTTGTTGCACATGACATTGCAATGCATCGTAATCGATGGATGTGGTATCAAAATTGACCAAATTAAGTAGCTCGGGAGGTACACAGTTTTATCGTCGGGTGAAAAGTGTAAGAGGAGTAGTACCTGTCGTTCTATGTACGGTACAGTTGAATGCCAGTTGTAAGCTCTCCAGCGCTGTATGTCATTCTGGGGTCTCGTAATTCTTAATCATAATGAGTGCGTTCTTTAGAGTTGACATGACGCTTTCTACCTGTCCGTTCGCTCTGGTGACGCCTGGTGCAATAGTGTGTATATTGATACCAAATCTGTCGCAATAATTTTTATATTCACCTAAATATTCACGCCCACCATCCACAATAATTTGCCTAGGTGTTCCAAAAAGATTTATAACTTGCTTTAATGCTCCAAGTGTGCTATGTGGGCTTTTGTCATTGCAATAGCGCAGTAATACATACTTTGAGAACGCATCTATGGTCACAATGACATATTCCTGATCATTAGGTGTGCCAAGCTTTCCTGTAGCATCCATATGTATAACTTCAAATGGCATAGTAGGCTTTGAAATTGGATGCATTTGTACTTGCGTTGCTCCAGATGTTTGCTTCGATGTTCTGCAGATAACACAGTTATTTACAAAATCTCGGATGATTGCAATCATATTCTCAAAGTAGTAAGTCTCTCTAATTTTATGAAGAGTTTTGTCCCATCCTGGGTGCTTGAGGGCAGTGTGGTATGTGTTTATTAGACTCCACTGAAAGGACTTTGGTACTACAGTCAATTTTTGTACACCTAAAATCGGATCTGATCTTTCACGCTTAAGAACGTTACTTTCAAGCAAATATCCTGGAACGATATCACCGTTGTGTAAAGAGTCTATGACAGGACGGAGCTGGGCATCTCGTCGCTGTTCTACGTTAAGCCATTCCAAGTTTCTTGTCATAACATTAACATTCAGCGAGAGCGGATTTCTGCTAAGGAAATCAGCATGTTGCATTCGTTCACCTTTTCTCTATTCTATGTCAAATTCAAAATTTTGGAGATAGGACCACCTCCGGTGTATGCGAGGGAGAAGGTCTTGTTTGTGCTTTGAAGCTCTTAGTGGATTGCAGTCCGTGATCACTTTAAATTTACGTCCGTACAGAAAATGTCGGAAGTGTTTAATGGCGCGAACTACTGCCAGCGTCTCTAGCTCATATGAATGGTACCTACTCTCAGCGTCTGTGGTACGCATACTAAAGTAGGCTACGGCATGTTGTCGACCGTTAATGATCTGAATTAGTATTGCCCCAAAGCCGAGGCTACTAGCATCGGTAAATAATTCTATAGGTTCACCTTCTCGAAATATTGTGAGGACTGGTGAACAAGTAAGGTGGTGGATGATCTTCTGACGTACCTCTTCGTGAACGTTAGTTCATTCCCATTTAACACCTTGTTTGGTAAGGTTATACAGAGGGACCATAACTCTAGCAAAATCAGGAATGAAGCGGCGAAAATAGCCAGGGAGGCCGTTAAACTGGCGAACTTGTTTTACGGTAGTTGGGACGGGAGCTTTTATTAAGGCATCAATCTTTTTAGGGCTTAGACGGACTTCACCATTTTCTATGATGTTGCCAAGATATTCAATAGAACGTTTGAAGAAGAGACATTTTTCTATGTTGATAGAGAATCCAGAATCACGTAATGCGATTAGGATTCTTTCCAAAAACGAGAGACCACAAGAGTAATTGCGGCATTTACTAATGACATCATCAATATATACTTGTGCGATGCTATCGTTATGACCATTGTCGGAACTGCCTGGATTTAAGAGCGGTCCTAGCGCACGGTTTATACATCTTTGGTACACTGATGGTGCATTACAAAGGCCAAACGGCATGTTCAGGTATTCATAAAGACCATCAGGTGTCACGAAAGCAGTCTTTTCCACTGAATTAGGAGAAATGGATATCTGATGAAATCCAGAGGTCATATCAAGAGTTGTGAAGTAATGACCACCAGCCTGATCTGAACTGATCGATCTGGTCCGCGATCAATGGAAGAGGATAATAATCGCGTACCGTATTGGCATTTAGTTCGCGATAGTCGACGCACATTCTATCGTCTCCGTTTTTCTTCTTGACCAGAATAATAGGGCTAGAATAAGGGGATTTACTTTCTCTGATTATTTTATGTGTAATCAATTCAGAAACTATATCTTTAACTTTCTGGCGCTCAACGGGACTTAATCTATAGGATCTACGTCCTACATATTTATCGGGGTTTTTAAGACGGATTTCTAATTCACCAGTGTTAACGCGAGATTTAGCGTAACCTTGAGTAAAGACAAAAGAGTACTTATTAAGAAGAGCAAGTAGTGGATTTATCTCAAACTCATCAGTTAAATCATGATTTAAATTTTCAAAAATAGGACTATGAGATCGTATATGCATGACACGAGGTTGAGATATTAGCGTAGCACTATTTCGGGTAACGATTACACTTAGACCAGTTTCATGTAGTAAGTTTGCACCAATTAAAACGTCTGAAGTCATTTCAAAGTCGGGTAGTACGTGAAACAAGATCTCTATATGAATATTATTTATCACGCATATAGCCGTTAACGTGCTGGTAGATATAACAGGGAATGGACCTATTCCACGTAAATAGTTCACAACTTGATTCTTATGCCCTGGCAATTTATTCGCAATAGATTCACGCATAATGGAACACTCGGCGCCACTATCAAAAACAGTATTTATAAGCAAATTACCTACTCGAACACGCATGATGTTTAAGATAGAATTACGCGGCGAAAACACGTTTCGAATGTGTGGCCAGGCTTTGAACAAAACGAGCAATATTTACTATCACTAGTTGTAGCTAATGGCGTCGGCCGATTTTTATCAAAAGACAGGCCATTAGAATTACTTTTATTACGGCAATTATTAGAAGCATGACCGATCTTTCTGCAAAAACTACAAGAAGAATTTCTGTTATCAAGAGAATATTTAAAGCGTTTTTGGGGCGGTAGATTTGAATTATTATGCGATGCAATGGGACGCTTAACACGAATGGATGACGCAACGGATATCAATTCTGGCACCGAGGTGGCCCTCACATTCATTAGCTCAATTTTAAGGCGTTCGTCACCCACAGTTCCGATAACGGCCTCTACAGCATCACTGTTTTCGAGTTTCTCTTTCGTCACGCGTCTCCATAGAAGCCATGCACGAGATAAGAATTCTGCGATATCTTTAAACGTGTTCTCTAAATCTCAGTACGTCACGCGAGTAACGGCTCTCAGGTTCGAAGGTGGTGATAATGTTCTGACGCAACTCTTCCCACGTAGAAATCGTTACTAGCCAGTTATCGGCCCACATTTTAGCACGTCCCTTTAAAAGGCTAGTAACTTTCATTCGAATGTCATAATCACTGAGTTGATAGGTGTCTTTAGCCGAAGAAATGTGGTTGCACCACTCACGTACACCGACATTACCATCTGGGTCATAAGATGGCAGAAACACATCAGTTATTTTAACTTTGTTACTAGATTGTTGCAAAAGCCGCTCACTCATTCTGCATCATGGTCATCATATGCATAAAGAACTCAGGCGGTACGTTACCCGACTGTAAGCTTGGTATCATAGGGTTGCTGGGCAAGTTCGTAGGTAGAGCCGGTATTGAACATGATGTGCCCGAGGCGAACGTGCTCTGTGGAATCTTCACATGATTTCCAGTATAGTCAGGACATGAAGAATTTTGAACTGTAGAAAAGGATCGCTGGGGCGATCCCACTTCTGATGTCGAATTTTGACGTCCATTACAAATATGAAAATGAGCAGAACCATGAACTCCATCGGAGTCATCGGTTCTGCTATTGAGTTTATTCATGACAAATCACTATCACACCACAATAAAACAGCAATTCACTTATTATTTCTAATTAGAACAGTTTGTTACACAGAAATATAATAAAGTTCACAGTAATAAACAGAAATAATAACACGATTTACTTATTCAAAGCTTAAATTACTTACACTATTTGCTTTCGACCTTAACACCTCAAGCGCGGCCCAAAGAATGACCGTTCCAATTATTTTTCGGTAAAAGTGCACAACGCCATCACTTCCGCGCGGTCGTAAAGATGCGCGGAGCAATGGCGTTGCGCGAGCCTTCAGGTTTAAATCAGTTAAACTACTTTTAATCTAAATCGAAGTATAAAGAGTTTATTGTTTGAACTCATAGTAAGCCTGTAGTTACTAATAATTAAAGACAGAATTTCTTAAGATTAGAACACAATGATTGCTAATTCTTAAACAATTATTACTCAGTTGAAACTCGAATGCAATAATGATTACAGGATAGTCAAAACAACTACATTTAAAATATTTATAATTGAGCTTTTAAAATAATGTAATAACTATTTCACTAGTATTTATTTTACGTGGAATAATTAAATTACAAATATTACTAGGTAACAATGCATTAAATCATTAATTAAGATTTCATTTGAAGACCGAAGCGCGTGCGGCGACATATATAATAAACAAAAACACAGTCCTTTGTACTTCGATAAAATATTTTAATTTTTTTTAAATAGTTTATTCAATTCTTATGTCAAAATAAAAATATTTTTTTTAATCAAAATGAACATTATATCATTTTAAACGAATTACAACAACATCCCGACAATATCCCTTTCTTTATTTTGTTCATAAAGTATATTGACGTCGGCTATTGTAAAGCTGATTGTCTGTATCATGTTTAAAAATGACTAAAACGAAATCAAATCCCTGTAGCTACATAACCTTTTAAATATAATTTGTTGATTTTTGTATACGATATAATCGCTGTACCTACATAAAAAGTTATATTATATACATACCATAAGCATGGAAACCATAATAACCTGTTGTTGTAATTTGTTTATATTATTGTATTTGAAATTACTTTTAAATTACTATTATGAAAAACCATGATACCCTGTATAATGTAATACCCTGTTGAAATATATTCCTAGGAAAAACAACTTAACATGCCGTCATGAACTCTCAAGTAAACGTCGGCTGCAACGCGTTGTTAGAAGCCACTTGTACCGCACTGAGATCTAGATATAATTGTCTCTCATCCTAGCTACATTCGCATCTGCTGGTACACATACATTTCTATACCTCAACGAAATATTTCAACGTCCTTGTGCATTTATGTAATATTTGTATGTCTGAACCAAATTATTAAAAATATGTTTTAGATTTTTCTATAAAACTGAATTAACAAACGGACTTAAAGCCCACCTGATTGTAAGTGACACCTACAGCTAATTTCAAACAATTAATAGAATCAGGCGTTACTTTGCGGAAATTCATTATTTTAAAGTTTGAAAAAAATTACGTCGCGTACTACCGCTCGATAAAATAAAATGATGTGTCTTACCTAGTTTGAAGAGCACCTCCCGCCCTCCCTCAATTGCGAGCACTATCACAGCTGACCGCTAAGTGACTTTTAGCGGTAAGCCACCGCAGAGTCTACATCACCTGAAGTTGCCTCGTGTAGAGGCGAAACGCGTGTCGTATTGTCGTCTGTGGTGTGTCTTTCCTAGTGTAGTGGTGCTGGGATTAGTGGTGACGGTGATAGTGCACGCAATTGAGGGAGGGCGGGAGGTGCTCTTCAAACTAGGTAAGACACATCATTTTATTTTATCGAGCGGATGTACGCGAAGTAATTTTTTGCCAACTTTAACTTCCAACAAACAAGGCTAAACATTTGTTGTCACGTCTATGAACCAAGATGGAATGACTCGTGGCTTGTAATTATACGGGCTCTCTAAGCCCTTTAGACTGAAATACAGCGGTGCACACACTGCCATCTGACGACAGAAGAAGAAAAGAGGATGGTACCTACTACCTACCCAGGTGACCTCCTAGTAGAGTCGCACCCACCTAATAAACTTCTTCTTTATTATTAAATAAACTATTAACAATATTCTTTTTGTAAAATAAACACTTGGTGACCCCGAAACACCCGCACGGTACATGTATTTGTGTGGTCTACGAATAATTGTTCCGGATCTGTGTGTTTGTTCATGTGCAATTTACGTATGTAAAACGCCTCCACGATACAAGACAATCCTAGTTTAGCGTTTTTTTTAAAAACTGCAACAGCGAGGGAATTGCAGGTCCATTGCCGGCCTTATACACAGGAGTATGCTCGTTTCTTTAATGTTCCTAAGCCGTATCGGTCCGGAAAAATCGCCGGTGGTAAACGATTCCACAAAGAAATCGTGCGAAGAAGAAAACTTTTAGTAAATCACACAGTGGTGGACTGCCGATCATATAGATGATGTGGATAGTATCGTAAGTTTTGTGGCGAAAGTAAACACTTTGAAAATAAAAACCAAATAAGTATAATAACGAATTAATTCTAAGCACGCTCCACTTTGGTTCACATTTTATTTGATGCATGGTTCAGTTATTTTATTTAAAATATATGAAACAGTTGGCTTTTCGCCAATCTGGTTGAATTTACTGCGATGCAAACGTTGAAACAATTGTACCTTTATGTAAATTTTGGTAGGAACATGTTTTACAAATGAATTTCGGAAAAAAATATTTATCTGAATTTGTTCCTGAGTAGGATCTATTCACGTGGCAACTCTGCATAATTATCAATAACCATAATGACTTCTTATATTTACGCCAATACTACACATAGAATAAAAGTAATTTTATTGATTTTAACTTTTTTAATTGCACTTTACAGCAACCATGGTCCCGGGGGGTACTGAGCTGTTTGACTTTGGGTCCGATCAACGCAGAACGAGCTTACAGTATCTTGAATTCTTGCAGTAGTATGCTTGAGTTTTGATTTAATTTTATTAATTATGGAACTCCAAGCACATTAATACCCAGGTGTCTTTTCTATCAAATTAGGATTGTTTTTAATTTCCATCGCTTCCCGAATCATCCTTCGAAGGAATCGGTAATCTTTTAC